TGTTGCCTGTGTGTCTCCTTTCAGCCTCCAGGAATGAAACCGCCTTTGCCAAACTAGTAACAGTGAGAAAATTATGGCACTGAAGGAGATCTGACCTGGCCAACCCCTATCTTGCCTTTGGCCTTCAAGTTGCCCTTATTTATTCCTGGACTTAGGCCAAGCTAACTTTGGGACACATTTAATTTATAGTTGAAATGATAATAGCCCTTCCCCCAAATTCAACCGCCTTTGTAAAAGCTAATGTGAGACCACCAGGGTAGGAGGAAGGGAGGAGCTGAATTGTGCTAAAGTATAGACATAAATGATTGCCAGCCCTGTTCTGGAGGTAGCATGATACGCATTTCTCCAGTTACTTCTGCAGATAACATCACGATTGCAGAAGCTAAAGTTGACTTTCTTTTTTTTTCTTTTCTTTTCTTTTCTTTTCTTTTTTTTTTTTTTTTTTTTTTTTTGAGACAGAGTCTTGTTCTGTCTCCAGGCGCCAGGCTAGAGTGCAGTGGCATGATCTCGGCTCACTGCAACCTCTGCCTCCTGGGTTCAAGCAGTTCTCCTGCCTCAGCCTCCCAAGTAGCTGGGACTACAGGTGCGTGCCACCATGCCCAGCTAATTTTTGTATTTTAGTGGAGACCAGTTTTCGCTATGTTGATCAGGATGGTCTCGTTCTCTTGACCTCGTGATCCGCCCACCTTGGCCTTCCAAAGTGCTGGGATTACAAGCGTGTGCCACCACACCCGGCCAAGATTGGCCTTTTAAGATATCTTTTCAGGTTTTTTGCATGGCTGAGGATGCATGGCTCCACCTGGACCCGCCAGTTGCTCCTGAGGCACCACCCAGAAGCAACTCAGCCTGCAGGAGGACCATTTCCCAGACCCCTGTGATTACAGCCATAAACAATCAGCAGCGAGCACCCATTACCTAGCCAACTCCAGCCCTTCCCCCAAGCTACCTTTGAACAACCCTAGTCCCCAAACTCTCAGAGAGACTGATTTAAGTAATAACTCCATCGCCTGTGTGGCATGGTCAGCCTGTCAATTAAACTCTTTCTTTACTGCAATGCCATGGTATCCGTGAATTGCGTTTGTGCTGCAGGCTGGAAGAAACTGTCAGGTGCTCACAAGCAGACAAGTGAAAAGAAGTGTGTATGAGCTGAAAGAATACAGTCAGAGGAGGTGGGAACCACTGGCCTGCGTAGTGATGAGGGGAAGGAGGAGGCAGACATGGGGCTAAGAGGTTCCTGGAACTAGGTGATGACAGAATTTAGTTGTGTGATAAAAACTTGAGCCAAATTAAATTCAAAGTAGCTTAATTGAGCAATGAATGATTTGTGAATCAGGCAGGCCCCCAGAATCACAGCTGATTCACAGACTCCAGGAGTGTCTCATGGTCAGAACCAATTTTTTTTTTTTTTTGAGACAGGTTCTTGCTCTGTCGTCTAGTCTGGAGTGCAGTGGCACGGTCTTGGCTCACTGCAACCTCAGCCTCCCGAGTTCAGGTGATTCTTCTGCCTCAGCCTCCCAAGTAGCTGGAATTATAGGCACATGCTACCTTGTTCAAGTGATCTGCCTGCATCGGCCTCCCAAAGTGCTGGGATAACAGGTGTGAGCCACTGCACCCAGCCTTGGTAGCTAACTTTTTTAGGAATACAATGGGAGGCAGGTGGCTGGTTGCAGTGGCTCATGCTTATAATCCTAGCACTTTGGGAGGCCAAGGCAGGCAGATCACCAGAGGTTGGTTGTTCGAGATCAGTCTGGCAAACATGGAGAAATCCTGTCTCTACTAAAAATACAAAACTTTATCTGGGCACGGTGGTGTACACCTGTAATCCCAACTACTGGGGAGGCTGAGGCAAGAGAATCACTTGAACCCAGGAGGCAAAGGTTGCAGTGAGCCAAGACTGCACTACTGCACTCCAGCCTGGGTGACAGAGGGAGCGAGACTCCATCTCAAAAAAAAAAAAAAAGGGAGGCAGGTTTGCCCTAAGCAGTTCCCAGCTTGACCTTTTCCTTTGGCTTAGTGACTTTGGGGTACCAGTATTTATTTTCCTTTCACAATTGCAGCTGCTGCTATCACCCAATGCACTGGTGCAGTTTTGAAGTTGCCCCAGATCGGCCAATAGAGCTATTCCCAACTGCTGCTGAGGTTTGGAATAGGGTTATCTTGTCAAGATATTCATAATCTATTTATTAATGCAACAGCCTTTTAGTGTTTATGCCTCAGGCATCCTGCTTGGTGAGCTAGACAGTGAAGGTAACCACCCTTGGCTGGGCGTGGTGGCTCATGCCTGTAATCCTAACACTTTGGGAAGCTGAGGCAGGAAGATCACTTGAGTTCAAGACCAGCCTGGGTAACAAAGTGAGACACCATCTCTATAAAAAAAGATATAATTTTTTTTGAGTTGGACTCTTACTTTGTCACCCAGGGTAGAGTGCAGTGGCACAATCTTGGCTTACTGCAACCTCCGCCTCCCAGGTTCAAGTGATTATCCTGTCTCAGCCTCCCAAGTAGCTGGAATTACAGGCATGCACCAATGCCTGACTAATTTTTATATTTTCAGGAAAGACAGGATTTCACTATGTTGGCCAGGATGGTCTTGGTCTCCTGACCTCAAATAATCTGCCTGCCTTGGCTTCCTGAAGTGCTGGGGTTACAGGTGTGAGCTACAGTGCCCAGCCAAAACAATACATTTTTTAAAAAGGTAACCAACCTCATAGACCTTATACATGAGTTGGGAAAGTCAACATTTAATAAATAATTACACCTCCAAAAATACAATTATCAACGGCGCAAAGTGCAATAAGGGACAAAAACAGAGTGCTTTAACAAAGAATGAGGGAGGTCTACTTTAGATCAGCGAAGAATACAAATGAGTAGGGTATGGCCTCTCCATAGAAGTCTTATTTAAGTACAGGCCTTCAGGTTCAAATGCGAGTTAGCTCAGCAGGGGAAGAGGCATTTTAAGCAGAAGGAACTACATATGCAGCAAGGGAAGTGAATTTGCATGTTTAATGAACTGAATGGGCCGTATGGCCGCACAACTAGTGGATAAGAGGCAGGGCTTTGAGGCCACCATTAGGACTTTTGTTTCTATCGTTCATTCTCTCCTTCACATTTCTTTCTTTTTTTTTGAGACGGAATCTTGCTCTGTCGCCAGGCTGGAGTGCAGTGGTGTAATCTTGGCTCACTGCCACCTCTGCCTCCTGGATTCAAGCGATACTTCCGTCTTAGCCTCCCGAGTGGCTGGGACCACAATCGCATGTCACCACTCCCGGCTAATTTTTGTATTTTTAGTAGAGACGGCGTTTCACCATGGCCAGAATGGTCTTGATTTCTTGACCTCGTGATCCACCCGCCTTGGCCTCCCAAAGTCCTGGGATTACAGGTGTGAGCCAGCGCGCCTGTTTTTAATATAATAGAGATGAGCTCTCACTATGTTGCTCAGGCTGGTCTCGAACTCCTGAGCTCAAGTAATCCTCCTGCCTAATCCCAAAGTGTTGGGATTTCAGGCATGAGCCATCGTGCCGGCTTCTCTTTCACATTTTTTTTTTTTTTGAGACAGAGTCTTGCTCTGTTGCCAGGCTGCAGTGCAGTGGCCCAACCTTAGCTCACTGCAACCTTCACCTCCCAGGTTCAAGTGATTCTCCTGCCTCAGCCTCCTGAGTAGCTGGAACTACAGGCACACGCCACCATGCCCGGCTAATTTTTGTATTTTTAGTAGAGATGGGGTTTTACCATGTTGGCCAGGATGGTCTTGATCTCTTAACCTAGTGATCTGCCTGCCTTGGCCTCCCAAAGTGGAGGATTACAGGCGTGAGCCACCACGCCCAGCCTCCTTCACATTTCTTGGCACTCTTCCTCTGGGCCAGGCCATATTCAGGGAATAGGATATGGTAATTAATAACAACAATGACTAATATTCATTGAGTACCTACTATTTGTTATTAGAAGTATTATTCTAAGCACTTTGATACATGAACTTACTTAAGACTCTCAGCAACTCTATGACCTAGATGCTACTATTGTTCCCATTTCACAGAGAGGGAAACTGAGGCATAGAGAAGCTATGCAATTTTCAAGAGCATATAACCAGCAAGTGGGTAGAACCAGGATGAACCCAAGTTGACTGATTTAAGGACTCATAGGCATTTATACTCTTTTTTTTTTTTTTTTTGAGACGGAGTTTCACTCTTGTTACCCAGGCTGGAGTGCAATGGCGCGATCTCGGCTCCCCGCCACCTCCGCCTCCTGGGTTCAGGCAATTCTCCTGCCTC